CACATGAGCAGCCCCACCTCTGGGAGCAGCGCCCCCGCATCCCTCAGGCTCTAGCCTGAGGTACTGTTTTCTGCCAGAAGAGGCACTGCGGGGCGGCGCCCGCCCATTCCCACAGCTCCGGGAAGACCCGGGCGGCGGAGGCTTAGCCCCGTCCCCTCCCGCTTCCTCCTCTTCCTCCTGCCGGTCTGAGGGCGGCAGTCTCCAACTCAAGACCCTGGGGCTCCGGGTCTTCTCAGCAGCCGCCGCAGCAGCCGCGGCGACGTCACTGTCCTCGCGGCCTGGCACACAGCGCTCAGGCCGCCGAATGCCCGTGGACGCGCATCTCTTCCCAGAGTTCCTGCTTCCTGGGCCAGCCAAAGCCGCAGGTGAGAACGTCCGCGGTAGAGGTGACACCCAGGGCCTGCGGGTCTCAGAGGCCCGGTGGCCTCCTCCTCTCCTCCTTGCCTAAGAAACCCCCATGGGGGCGCCTGCAGCGGGGACAGCAAGTGCTCCCCGGAGCCCTGGGAGCACTTCTTCTGAGGCGTGGAGCCCCTGCTCAGGTGCTTCTGAAAGTTCCTTTGTAGACCCCAGAAACCCCTAGGCAACTGTCTGCCCCGCCCCGCGCCCCCGCCGCCCCCGCAGCCTCCCGCCCCCGCCCCCGCAGTACCCCGCGGGCCCCCAACATCCCCGATGCGCATGCCCAGGGGCCCTGTGAGCTAGAAAGTAGCTGAGCTGGTGCAGTACCTGCTGGTTAAGAACCGGAAGACGGTGGCGATCAAAAGGGCAGACATGCTGAAGTATGTCATCAAAAGGTACAGGAGCTTCCTCCCTGAGATTTTCAAGGAAGCCTCTGACCTCCCCGAGTTAGGCTTTGGGTTCTATCTGAAGGAACTTGATTCAGCAGAGCACTCCTATGTCTCGATCAGAAAAATCGATCCTGCCCTGGTTTGGGGCCTGACAGGCGACCAGGGCACACCAAAGACCCGGCTCCCGATGATTACTCTGGACTCCATCTTCATGCAGGCCAGCTGTGTCCCGAGGAGGTGGTCTGGGAGGTGTTGAGGGTGTTGGAGGCACATTTCGTCTAAAAAGCATTTCGTCTTTGGGGAGTCCGTGAAGCTCATCACCAAAGCTAGTGTGCAGCAGAAGTACCTGGTGCACAAATAGGTGTCCCACAGTAATCCCACGCTCTAGGTATTCTTGTGGGGGCTCTCAAAGGAAACAAGACAGATGGAAGTCCCGAAGTTTGTGACCAAAGTGAAGGACACCCACCCCGGTTCCTTTCCGTGGCAGTAAATGAGGCATTGAGAGAAGAGGAGGAGATACCCCGTGCCCGAGATGGCAGCTGCCGTTGGTGACGTGACAAGTGCCAGTGTTAGTGCCAGTTCCAGTTCCAGGGCCTATGCCATGGCTGAAGCAAGCATCAGCACCAGCACCAATGCAAGTGCCAGTTGCCAGTGCCAGGGCTAGAGCCATGGCTGGAGCAATTATCAGTACCCGGGACAGTGCCAGGGTGGTTGCAATCTCAGGCTAGCGTCAGGGACTCCTCCTGCCAGCAGTGAAGACTGAGGCTGAGTCTTCACTTTGTTTTGCTGTAGATAGTCAAAAGGGCCCCACAGCAGTGGGCGCTGGGGTCCTGACTTTTCGAGAGTCGAAGGGTAGAGTGGGGTTAGGGAGAACCTGCCGCCCATGGTATCTGTGTTCCAGTTCTATTTGTGTTTCTCAGTGATTTAGCTTTCAATTTGCATATTGCAAAGTTTTGTTTGCCTTAATTAACTTGTTTTATAATGACGATCAATTTACAGGAAGTAAACTGGTTAAAACTACATGATGGCAGAATTGTATCAAAGTTGAAACAAACGCCATCCTTAAGCATTTTTTCAAAATCCTTTGTTCCATAGACACTTGATTGAGTACTTAAGTTGAACATCTAGGTTTATGAATGACATTGGTCAAATGTTTTATTTTTCTCTGTTTCGGTTTTAGCAGGAGAGATTTGCTGTTTCATAAAAGAAATTGGGAGACTATCTCATTTTATGCCTGTAACTTATTATAGCATTGGAATAAGCTGTTCTTTGAAGGTTTGAGAGACTTTACCAGTACAATCCTTCCCCCCCTCCAAATATACAAAGATAAAATAAAAAGCCGGTCAGTGTCTGTTGCACAAAATTACAACCGCTCTCTGCTTGTATTTGCCTAGTTCTCCAGAATGTAGGGAAAAATAAAAATTCAATGAATTAGACACCTTGCTCATCGACTCATTTATTCAACATACATTTACTGACTACCTACTATATGTGAGGCACTGTGCCGGGCGCTGCAGATACAGGAATGCACCAGACTCAGCCTCTGCCCCACATCTGAGAGTCTAGATGGGGCTGTCATGTAAGTAAATCAGCCAGATGTGGCAGTTTGATGTATTAATTGCTGGGGCGAGGATAAGGACCAGGTGGTATGGGAGCCTAGAGGTGAGACACTTAACCCTGGGTGGCGGATGTCTGGGAACAAGGAGGGCTACCCTGTAGTGAGATGCCATCTGAGATCTGAAGCACTGAAGGAGTAGTAAGTGCAGTGTGTCCCCGAGGCAGGGTATGGTGGGCGTCGGGAGCAATCCCATGTTCTTCAGTGGAACTGGAAGGTTAGAATTTCGGGAGACTGGGGAGAGGATCTGGGGGTGGGGACCTGTACAGGAGCCATGATCCTCAGTTGGTGGACTTCATGGCTGAGAGATTAAAAAATAATAATAATAAAATAAACGTGTAGTGGAAAGTGACTCTTTGGAAAGCAGCTGCTCTTGGCTCTTGGATGAGCCAGAGAAAAGACTCCACCTGTGGCATGCCTAGAAGCTGTCCTGTGCAGTTTCCACAGTGCACACAGCAGGTGCTTTATATTCAGCATCCGTAAGGAGCGATGGGCAAGAGGGTAAGTGTTGCCCTCACCGGAGCTGATTCCCAGAAGCCACTGAGCAGATGTTCGCCCCTGAAGCCTGGGAGAGACAGAGCTCAGTGGGTTATATGACTACGGTTAGTTGTTGTTGTTTTAAGAAACAAAGGCCTAGATGTTAGAATGGATAAGTTATCCTGTTTATATCGAGGGAAAACTGTTTGTCGGGGTGAGAGATAAGTCTAGACTAGCCTGGAGCGAAGCCAGGAAGAGCCTTGATGGCTCTAACCTGATTTGGGGGGCCCAGGAAGCTATGGAGGTTTCCTGAGCAGGGAAGGATCTGATGAAGGCCAAACCCTACCAAAATTACAGTGGCCAGCACCAGCGTGGTTTTCAAAGGACCAGTATTCTCCATGCCTTAGAATGGTCCTGGTGGGTATAGTGATCATAATAACTAGCCTAAAATTATCTTCAGTTCTTAGAGATTGACGTGCATGTTTTACATCCCTGCCCGTTGGCCTTGCACAGCCTTTTTGTGCCCTTCATCACAAACACCGTGGGATCCTGGCACCAGTTCTCTCAGGGCCTACCCTAGGATATGTAGGATCCAGATAATATTACGTTGTAACCCCTCACTCGCATTCCTCTGCTGGCGTCAAGGAAAGGCTGGAGGTGGTGGTGGTGGTGGTGGGGTGGTGCAGCGGGGGTGGAGGTATCATAATATGAAAACATGCAATCTGAGGTGAATGGGGAAAGGGTTTTGGAAGGGCTCTGTCTTAGTTTGGGGTGGGGATAGCGGGAGCCGATTATGTGTACCTCAATCTGAGGCCTTTCCTCCAAATCCCAAGCCACCTGCTCTCCATTTGAAGCCAATAAACATTGTCAGGTATGAAGGGTGTATGCATTTGGGCAGGGAGAGATGATACTTTTTCTGCGTTGTTACACTGAATTGCCCTCCTCAAGGCCATAGCAAGATACCTGTGGAAAAAGCATTGTCTATAGGCCACAGTCCTAACAGGTACTTAGGAACAAGCAATGCTGTCCCATGACTGTAACCACATACATGAGCCCAGATACGTATATATGTCTTAAGCTCCTCTCCATCTCCAACAGCCAACCCTATCCCAACTAAATAATTTTCTCAAGAGGTGTAAAAAGATCTTGACCCATAAAACCACCAAACACTTCCAGATTTATTTCAGTCTTAATGAGAGAGAAGCAAGAGAGTGTGCCAGCAGGGAGGATGGGTCAGCCTCCTGTGGGAGTGGGTCCTCGAGAGTGTTGCTCTCCCCTGGGCGTGCTGAGACACTAGAGCTGCCCAGCCTGCAAAGCCGAGAAGCCCGCTCTGGGAGCACCAGTGGGACTCAGCTCCTCATTCAGAAAGTAAGCAGATCAAAGTAATTTGACGTGGGCCCTTATGAGGGCCTCCCACCCATTACTGTGTGTCTGAAAGGCCCGCCGTCTCTCCATTGACCTTGGTGATTGCTTGTGTTGCAATTTCTAACAGGTTAAAGGAAGAAGTATGCTGCAACCCCCTTTGCAGAATTCTCCTGCTGATACTATGTTGCAGCACATATCAAGGTCACCTTAGGAGGGCAAAAGAAAAAAAAATGAAGCCCTCCTCTTATGAAAACGAACAATGCGTAGTTGAAGACGAGGCCGTCTGTTGGAAGGGCTCTCTGTCTTGCGGTGGCGTAGGGGGGCCTGGGAACTCTTTGTCAGTATAGGGGTTAACGCCTTTTCTGAGATCCACAGATTCTTCCTCCACATGACCCTCCCACCTCTGCCCGTAAACACCGCCCAGTTTTCCTCAGCTATGAAGATGGTGTGCATTGCTAGGGGAAAGAGAGATGTTATTCCGTCCTCATTCCTGCATGTGAGATGTTAATCCGTCCTCATTCCTGCATGTAAGTGCCTCACCAGGGTCAGAGCCGCCAGCTGTGGAAAATTCATTGACTGGCCACAGCCCATTGCCACCAGGACCCAGGAACAAGCAGCGCTGCCTCGAGGAGGAGGGCGGACAGCCTAAGGAAGATGCTAGCTCTCTCCCTCTACAACCCCACCGCTGCCAAAGCTGACCACCCCCAGTTCACCCGACGTGTTGAAAGTTCCATCAAATGCCACAAAGCAAAAACAGTCAAGCGTGCCAGCATTTATTTCAGGTCCGGTGACTGGGACTCTGCGGCGAGTTAGGGGCATGGAGCATCAGAAGGGGCTTGGTCACCGTTCACGGCTCTGTGTCTGTGGCTTCGGTGGTCTCAGATTCTGAGTGTCTGGTATCCTCCCCTAGGGAGGAAAGCAGAGTGACAAGTAGACCCTTGGGAGCCTTGGGGATTTCTGGCTTGGCCTGAGGTTCTCTTGGTGGAAGAGGAAGGGGAGGCGGATGGGCTTGGTGGTGAGCATTGAGAGGCAGGGGTTGGCTCCGAAAGAGCTCTCGCCTGAAGCACTTGGTGAAACATGCCAGGGCTCTCTGGAACCGGCTCCTCCAAGACCCTCGCAGAAGAGCAGGTTCCCTGGGCAAGGCTGTGCCACTGGATGGGTCCTCCGTGGCATCAGACGCAGCCACCCATTCCTCAGCGTCTTTTTGTGGCCCTTTCACATTCTAAAAGCCAGAATAAATAGCCAGATCCTAACGGTCCCTCCCATCCCTGGCTTCCTTCACCCCATCCAATAACTGTTGTGTGCATCTCTGGCCCTCTTCCAGGGGCTGGGGATGCAGCAGTGACCTGCACAGACCAAAGCCCAGCCTCCTAGGGGACATTCCAGAACAATGGAGGGAAGCCAGACTCACCAGGTCAGCAGGTGGAAGGAAGGGAGTGAAGATCATGCTTCCGGGAGTGTGTGATGTGCCGGTAGGGACCAGCAGGACTTCATTGAAGACATCGGCGAAGCTCATCACTCTGCCGGGTGTAAAGAGGCCGAAGGCCTGCCCCCTCCACACCCCATTCAGCCCCTCTGCCCCTGCCTCATCGTCCCTCCCTCCTACAGCCTTGTGCTCCAGTAGGGGATACATTTTTGGTATGTCACATTCGGTCTGTTCCTGTGTTTCTTACTCCCACTCCTCCAATCTTTCTTTTTCCTTTGTTTCTTCCTCCTGGCCCTCCCAGCAGGCTCGAGTCACGTTTCTGCTTGCCGAGCAAAACAGCCCCGAGGGTCCTCCTCGAGAGAGCATGATGTGTAGAGGTCTTCTACAGGTAGTTCATTGTATTTGGCAATGAATGATTCATTGCATGCCAAGGTCGCCCATGGTCCTAGTTTGCCATGAGTGGGACCATTCCAGGTTTAAAACTTAAAGGCCCCTGTCCTGGGAAAGCTCTCAGTCCCAGGGAAACTGGAACGGTTGGTCACCCTACTTCATTCATGTGGACACTATTGTCACATTACTGTGCACTGTTTTTCTCACATTTAATAGTTGAACCTTACAGATGAAATTGTAAGAGTGATCCTGATACATAAGACGTAGACATTTATGAGTAATCGATGTGTATTGAAGGCTCTTTATATCTTCATAGTGTGGAGGTAAATGCAGCATTGTGTGTTTGCCCCCAAATACATATCCACCAAAAGCCTATGATTGGACCTCAGCCATCACATCTGCTCTTGGGGTGTCACCCCAGAGTTCTAGATGGACCCAGAATTGCAGAGAGACAAGGGCAGGGGAGGGAGCCGGGAAAGAGGTTAACATGACCGCAGATGCTGCAAATGGGATTCACACGAAGATGTCCTTGCCAACAGCCAGGCCATCGCTGGCTTTGTAAGGTAATGGGATGATCAACATTAGAGGTGTTGAAGCACAGCCTGAGCGGTCACTTGTACAGTATGCTGCAGAGAGGAGGGTTCAAATGGTTTCAGACAGCCCTGTGATTCATAGGATTCGTGTGCAAATCAGGGGTAAAGAGCCCTTAGCGTTCATGTAAAGACATAATTCCCCCTGATGTGTACAAAATCCTGTGAATTTCCAGGCAAGTGTTGTGAAATACTTAGAAATTCCTCCAAGAAGTGAGCAGGTCTCACTGTCTGTCCTATCTCCCCTTTCTCTCCTTCAATCTACCCCAGTTAGATTTTCTCCTACACCACTCCACTGAAACTTAGGAGTTAATTGAGCATGAAGCAATGAACAAGTGCAAGTAGTGTTTCTTATAGTTGTATATGACTAGCTATGTGATTCGAATGAACAAACCAGCAAGTTGTGTTTAAATGCTTGATAAAAGCTGGGTTTAAATTGTTACCTTAAAAATGGATAGAAATGAAGACCCAAATAACTACACTGTCATCTCCCAGCACAACTTTCATTCTCATATAAAGAAAGTGGTTTTCTAAGTAGGAAGGTTGTTCCAAAGTGCTGGAAATTCCCAGGAAGAAAGGCCCAGATTTTGTGGAGCTTCCACCTGTCTCCTTGTAGACGCAGCCAACTGCCACCAGGTGGCAGAACAAGACGAGAAAAACTGCCCCACGCAGTCCCTGAGCCCCTTCTGAGGCAGTTTTTGGGTGAGTTTTCTCAGGGGCCGGAATCAGTCCTGGGGAACCATCCCAAGGATCTGACCTCTTAAGATATTCCAGGGTGCACCCAGGGCCTTGCCCAGGGTTTCTGACATCTATGATGACGCTTAAGGCGGTGACATCGATCAGCAGGGCCTCTGGGCTGGGAGACCCAATTCACCTCCTCCTTAGTAACCCTGGGATGTGGTAGTAGGTGGCTTTAGGCAGGATGCGGGGCCAGTTGTATCTGTCAGTGTGTCAAGGTAGTGACATCTGTGATTCTGCAGGGACATTTGGACAGCAGAGAATCAGAAACGCCAGAAAGTGAGGGTCTGCAACAAAAAACCTTGCCAACTGCTGTGGACTGAATTGCGTTCCCCCACTCTGCAATTAATACATTGAAGCCCTGACCGTGTATGGGACTGTATCTGGAGCTAGAGCCTTTAGGAGGCAATTAAGGTTAAATGAGGTCATAAGGGTGGAGCCCTGCTCCGACAGGATCAGTGTCCTTATGAGAAGAGACGCCACAGGGCTCATTGTACGTGTCATATCTCGAGGTAGTGACAACTGTGCTTCTGCAGGGACATTTGGGCAGCAGGGATGTCTCCTCTTCTCTGCACTGCATGCACCCAGGAAAGGCCATGTGACGTCTTAGCAAGGAGGAGGCAAACCATGAGGAGAGCCTTCAGCAGAAACCAAATCGGCTAGCACCTTGATCTTGGCCTTCCCAGCTGGCAGAACTGCGAGAAAATAAATGTCTGTTGTTTAAGTCACCCAGCCTGTGACATTTTGTTATGGCAGCCCGAGAAGACTAATATACCAACCTAGTGATTTTTCAAAGAAATGAGACCCGGGCTGGCCCAGGAGGCCAGGCTGCTCAGTCCCCGAAGCCTGATGGCGGGTGAGGTGGACAACCCTGTTGTCCCGCCCAGTAACATTTCCTTTTCTTTCTGAATCTCCTTTGAGAAAATAAGCTGCCTCTGTGCAACTGCCTTGAATGGACCCAGAGTTCTGCAAAGAGTCAGGGAGGGGCTATGAGTGATGGTGATAAGACCCGCCCCACACCACCCTGCAGATGGATGGGATTATATCGAGAAAGGCTACCATGTCAGCCCCAGCTTTATACCATGTCTCCCTCAGCTGAGATTAAACAAGTGTGTAGGGATTCAAGAAAAAGTTGATATTTTAAATTTGGAGTGGATGTTACAGGGAGTAGGGGTCGACTGGATTTTGCCAGCCCCGAGATTGAACTGGATAAATTACAGGTAGATTATATGTGTGAAAGCACTGGGTACGTGAGAGGATCTCAATACAATTTTGTTGACTTGCAAGCGAGTTTCGCAGAAGCTCCTGCAAGAGGGGAAGTGATTCTTATGATTACAAACAATAACAGTTTCTTTTTATTAAAGACCTAGTAAGTACAGGTATATCACCTGTTTACAATATTGTCTTATTTATGCAAATAATCCTTGTGTCCGAAAACAACACAGATAAAACGGTAGTCTCCCTTGTCCACCCCTCTCCGTCACCAACCCCTCAGTAATGGTTTAATATGTTTCCTCAAAAATTCCTCAATCAATGCATTTACATACACATACATGCACTAATAGAAACCTATGCTTGTCTTTTATGGGGCCATAAGATACATACTGGCTCATGATGCACGTATTGTGTGGCACTTGATTTTTGCATTTTACAGCAAGTCTGGGTGAACTTCTCCTGTCAGTTCATGGAGAACTGTCTCATCATTTTAAACTTCTACACAGTGTTCTAAGTGATATGCCATAATTCTTTAACTACTTTCACACACAACGACCTTCACATTTTTCCCCAGCTTTTAAAGTTCTCAAAAGTTTTTCCAATATCTTTGTTCGCAGAGGATGTGTTGCCCTAGAAGAGATACACAGAAATGGAATTCTGGCACAAAACCCTAGAAATATTTCAACACTGAGTAACCATTGATAAATGGATCTGAAAAGAGGTGGCAGCAATTTCTTCTCAGGAGCAGTGTAGGATAGTGTTCATTGTCCTTCACCGTCTCTCTTGATGTTATTTGTCCCTTGAAATATTTGCTAATCTGGTGGTTGATATATGAAAGGTTTTGAGACAAAGCCTTCCTTACAGAATCTGTGAAGGTCCAGGACTGGTCATGTCTGCAAGCCCATACTCAGATGTCGCCTCCAGTGGGCCGGTTGGGGAGAGGCCGAGAAAGGCACAACAGAGTACAACAGAGAGTGACAGGAGGAAGTTTCGGGGTCCATGAGGAGGCTCAGACAGGACACCCACTCAGCCTTGGGGATGTTAATGGAGTCAGTGGAGGTTTCCCAGAGGATTAGATGCCTGAAATGTGTGAGGAAAGCATTCAGACAGGGAAAGGGAGAGGAGGAACAGCGCTTGAAGCACAAACACCAGGCCACTGAGGTGATTTTGGAAACTGCAAATAAGCTGACCCAGTTTCTATTCTGTGCACTTGTAGCAGTCAAGATTGGCTACCATGAAGCAGTGCCGGATTAGAAACATGTGTCCCAGTGGAGACCCCGAGTTCCTCTGCTGCAGTTCTCTAGAATGAGGGTGCTCAACCAGGGGCTAGCCTGAGTTCCAAGGTCCAGGCCTTGAGGATCTTCTGGGTTGCGTCTAGGCCCTGGCCTAGAGTTTCTGAAGTCTGTCATGGGACATAAGATAGTGATATGTGTGTGTGTGTGTGTGTGTGTGTGTGTGTGTGTGTGCGTGTAGTCTCCTAAGGACCTAGCCTGGGAGACTCTAGTCAGCTGCCCACCCATTCTGTAGCTCTGGGATATGAAAAGAAGCCATTTTAGGCAGGGTGAGATGCCAATGGTGTCATGCAGTATCTTAGGGGATAGTGAGGGTACCCTTAGAGGATACTGAAAATACTTGCATTAGGGCTCATGGGAGGCATAATAGCCCCCAGGGCACTTGCAACTAGGCAACTGGCTGACACAGCAGGTAGCTGTGAATGTAACAGTCCCCTAAGCCACAGGGTCACCAAATGTCTGAGAAGAACAAGAATTTGGAGATCATTTAGCCAAAGATTTCAGAATGCCAATAGGGCAATGGAAGCTCTGAAAGGTATAGCACCTTGCTCAACACAGAGAGAAAATGTATCACTATGGTGAAACAGTGAAGTGAGGGCACTGTGACTAACACTGACAGATGAAACCTGTCTTCCCCTGAACCTGAGAAGTTCTAGAAATCAACAGCCTGTGCAAATGGGTCATCACAGCAAACCGCCTGAGGAGGTTCATGGCAGCCAGGTCCCAATCAGCAGCAGTGTTGTGCTTCTGAGGATATAATGTGTGAGGGTGTTTTGGTGTGTGAATCAGCCTCTGATGGGTGGTGAACAGGGGGCTCCAGGCTGGCGTTCTCTCTCTCTCTCTCTCTCTCTCTCTCTCTCTCTGTGTGTGTGTGTGTGTGTGTGTGTGTTCTAGAGGTGAGGTCCCCTTGTCACCAAGCCCTGCTCTATTAAATCCCACTATGACCACTTGGGTTTCGACTTCGACTGCTATTTTCCAAGTT